CGGCCGCCGCCCGCCGCGGGGCTGCGGGGCTCTGGAGGGCGGGGAGCAGCGGGCCGGGCCGCGCGGGGCGGCGGGGCCTAGCGGCGGGCCGGGCGCGGGGCTTTGTCGGCGGCCGCGGGCTGAGCGCCGCTCTCCTCCCCCGCAGGTCCCGCTCCGCTCCGCAGATGGGCCGCGGGAGGGCGGAGCGCTGAGCCCCGCGGGAGGACCTGAGGGCGGCCGTCGGCCCGGCGGCGCCTGGAATGCGGCTGGGGAGCGAGGATGGGCACGCAGGGCAGCCCGGTGAAAAGCTACGATTACCTCCTCAAGTTCCTGCTGGTGGGAGACAGCGACGTGGGCAAAGGGGAGATCCTGGAGAGCCTCCAGGACGGCGCGTCCGAGTCCCCGTACGCCTACAGCAACGGTAAGGGCGAGGCAGCGCGGGGGGACGGCGCTGCGGGGGCTGCGGGGGTCCGTCGTGGGCCGCCCGTTGCCCGGTGTGGTCGCCCGGTGCCGTCCCCGCGGCTCTGCCCCATTCACTGCCCGCTGCGTGCCGAGCCGCGCTGCGAGGAAGCGGGTCTGTAACAAAAGAACGGGAGCGTTATTTGCAGAGAGGAGCTGCTGGGCTCCGTGTGCTGCTGCATCGTTTGTCCGCCTCCTTCCAACGTCGAGGTGTGTGATGGAGCCCACGGCAGGCTATTAACTGTAGTGTCACAAGACCGTGATTAAAAGCCGAGGAGTGGCACTGTGCTATTTCCTGCAGCCCCGCGCTGCAGTTAAAGCATAGCACAGCCCGGCAGGGTGCGGGTCCTGGAGTGGCGTTCAATCTGTCATCCTTCTCTCTGGCCTCAGCGCAAAATAACGGCCCCGGGGGCTCAATAGAAGCTGTGCAATGCAGATCCTTCACCGTCCCCGCAGCTGACCCGATGGTTGGAGCAGTTGGTGCTTGGTTTTCTCAGCGAACGGCAGCCTGAGAGAGCCGGGTGCTTCTCAGGGCTTGGAACTGAAGCAGGCCTTGATGTAAAGGCATGGTGCACTCAGCCCTCAGAGCTGCCAGCAGCACTGCAGGAGTGATGGAAGTGCACACCTGGTACCTCCGAGGAGGCAGTGACTCAGAGCTCGGGAGGGCTATGAGATTAGAGTAACAAATTCTGGAAGCAAAAGGCTGTGGTACTGTTCGTCCATAGAGATGTGTGGCTGTGGTTTGGCTTTGAGGAGCCATTCGGTGCTTTTAAGCTTCCCCAGAGTTCCCATCCCTAAAGAACCCGTGGTGGGAGCGATGGAGCTGCTCCCTGGGAATGAGGCTTACTGAGCAGGGCAGATCGAAGGGTGAAGTGGGCTGTTGGCATTGTGGTCGTGTTATGCTGTGGATGTTTTTGGCTGTTGTTCAGATGCTGATGAGGCAGGAGTAATGAGGGTGGTTGGGAAGTGAGTGTGTGTTCTTTGATACACGTGTGGAACCCAACACTGTGACTTAGCTATGGCTGGGAAGGGAGCCTCTCTGCACCCAGTACTTTGTAACAGCAAAGTAACATCGTCTCTTTCTAGAAAAAACAGATCTCAGTCTGCTAATGTCTTCAGAACCTTCCTTTTCTGTAAGCAAATGAGCCCGTTCCTAGTTAGGGAATTGAGTCACATGCTGTTGGTTTTTTGTTTGGTTGGTTTTTTACACTAATATGTGCTTTGATAGTCTCTGCTTCTATTGCTTCTGCTGAGCCTGTGATCGGATGGAGCAGCTTTGAAATTGGAGAGTTTGATCCTGAGCTATCCCTGACGGCCTTGGCAATTGGATGGCATCAGTCTTGGAGTGCTGGGGATGCACTGAAGGAGCAGGTCTCTGTGCTGTGTGCAGCTGTGCCCTATAGAGCATCCCAGGTGTGAAGGCACTTGGTGTTAGTGCTTGGCCTCCTCCATACCGTCTGCTTAATGCTGTCCTGAAACCACATCGACAGCACTGTGGAAGGGTTCTCTTTGTAAGCTTCACTCTCATCAGTCCTCCTCCTTCCTTCTCTGACCGTCCCCCCACCCCACATCCTAATCTGAAAAAACAGATCACCCACAACTTGTTTCTTCTGACCCAATGGCAAAGCTTGCCATGGTCAGTGTGAAGTGGAGTTTACTTGAGGTTGATCCTGTGACTGGGGCACGTTTTGTCAGCATCTACTTGGTGAGGAACCACAGCTTGCTCCTGAAAGCCTGGAACTCTGTGATGTGTATTTCTGAAGCATCATAGATCCTTCTGTCTGTTCTCATTCAGGACCCCAGCAGCAGAGCGTCCCTTCTCATTGCGTCCATGTAGCTTGGTCCCTTGTGCTGCATCAGACCCTCAATGCAGAGCTTCTGGAGGCTTGAAAATGGCTCTTTGGATCAGAGGTTTGAATTTCAGCTGCCGTCTGAGTTTCTCACGAGGTTGATGCTGAAGCTGCTGAGGCTGTGGGTCTCAGGGAGCACCAAGTCAGCTGTGCTCCCTGCAAAGAGTGGATCCATCCCTTGGGAGCACTACTCGTGCCATGCAGCTGGATGTTGCTATCCCCAGGCTGGGAGAGTTTGGAACTGAGGTGGAGTTAAAGTTGTCTTTCTCTTAGGCAGTTTCAAAAGGCCTCGAGTTAGCATTTGTGCTGCTCTTTGGAGGAGGATGTTCCCAGCTTTCTCCCTCAAACTTCCCACAGAGCCACCCCTGCGCAGCCTGGTGCTCATCACAGCAGGACCCATTGCCTGCTGAGTGCTGTGTCACAGCCTTTCTGGAACAGCTGGCTGTCAGCACGCTTACCCCACAGCCATCCTGCCCAGCTCGTTGGGTGGCTTGCTGCAGGAGGCAGCAGTGTGACTCACGTGGAGTTGCTGCACGTTGCTTCCCTGGGTGCCGTGCAGCAGGAAGAGGCCAAGGCAGGCTCTGCCACTCTGATGTGGATGCCTTGTGTGCTCTTTGCTGATCCTTGCATGGCTGCACGCTGCTTTGGGAGAGGGCTGCCCCCTCACCTGCTGCTGCTCCTGTAGGAGAGCTGACATGTGTGCTCAGGACAGAATGGAGTGTGTTTCTGAACAGATGGCTTTGATTGGAAGGGGGATAGATAGATGTTGTTTCTCTCAGTTCACGTTAAGCTATCCTCCTCATGGCTTCCTTACGTCTGCTCTGCTCTCAGGCAGTGCTTGGAGCAGCACTGATGGCCCCGTCCTGTTGTGACCACCCCTCTGCGATGTGACTGTGCCCCTTGTTTCCCCCTTATTAAGTGCTGTTTACCCGCAGATAACATTGTTTCCTCAGCAGCCACCTCCTTGGATGTGCTCTCCTCTGCTGCTCTTTGTGCAGTTGTCTGAATTCGGAGCTCCCACTGCTGTTGTCTCCACCCTTTCTCTCCAGCAGTTGCTTTCTCACCCCCAGCAGTTCACCCCAACCCTCAGCCACCAGTGTGTGACCAGGAACATCACCCAGGGGCTGCCACAAACATCTGTTCTACCTGTGCAGCTTGTGGCACGGCAGGACTCCGTACATCTCTGGCAGCACTTTGCCTTCCCCTCCTCAGCACATGGCAATCAGTTCTGGCTGTGGCTGTGCTGGGTAAGAGCTCTGGCTGGGGCAGTGCTGCTGCAGTGACAGGTCTCTGTAGTAACTGGAATCGTGGTTTATTTTGAGGTTTTAGCACTCTGATGGGAGCTGTGTTGAGGCAAAGCATTCTAAATGGAGACTTGCTGTTGTCTTCTTGTGTGGGATCAGCCTGCAGGGAAAGCTTCAGGTCAGCCGTGCTGCTGGAGATCTCTTCCAGCTATGGAAGAGTGGGGAGTGTGTGTCAGCCAGGTCAGTGTGTCTGCCAGCGCCTGCACCCGTGTCCTTCAGGGATGGTTCTTTCCGTGTCATCAGGGATGCAAAACTGATCTCTTTGGAGCAGGCTGTGGCTTGGAAACAATTCCAGCATCTCTTGTTTCTCTCTCCTTTATTTCTTTTCCTTTGTTGTATGATGATAATAATTCTGGATGTACTGCATTGATCCTCTGTCTCTGTTTGTTGTGGGACTGCCCGGCTGTGGCTTTAGAGCCCAAACAGGCCCAAGTCCCACGCAGGTCTGGATGTCTTCTGCTGTCTTTTAAGTCAGGATAGGGGGTGCTCAGTGCATTGGGTGATGTGTGTCACCTTCCAGGTGCCCTCCTGGGGGGGGGGAGCTGAGCACTTACTGACCCTGAATAAGAGCTTTGCTGGTAGGGGACTCTGAACCTCAAGCCCCTAGGGTGATGTGAGCCTAGTACTGTAAATCTGGAATGGCTAGAGTGCTCTTCTAATGAATTGAGTTAAAGGTTTCTCTTTGTTTTTAGGGTTGTTTCTTCTTTCTGTTTCCATTTTACCCGATTCCAAGATGAGTCTGCTTCTGGTGGTGTGTATTTTTCCTATCTAAACCACATAGGAAAGCCCACATAAAATTTCCTTCTCTGCCCCATCTCCCTCAGCTCCAGTTTCCAGCTGTTCCCTGGCATGTTCTCCTCAGCAGCTCCTTCCTTCCCTCCCTCTCACTGAAGAGCAGAGCATCTCTCCGTGCACTCACAAACAGCTGCACTACGAGCTTAGCTTTCCGAGCCAAGGATTTACAGCCTTGCTTTGCTCTCACCTCCTTGCCCTCTGACAGCCCAGGCCTGGCAAGCAGGGTGCTGTATTATGCTGTACAGCTTTCTATTTAATTTGGGGCTGAGGAGGAGCAAGGAAGCTCTGATATGAGATCTCAGCTCGCCCGCACTGTTGTGCTGAGAGCCCCATCCCATGGGGAGCATCAGAGGTCTGTGTGATCCTTCAGGGGCTGCAGTAGCACTAAGGATGTGATGGCAGTTCTGGGACTGAGTTTGCTCACATGGGGGTCCTGCTGATGAGGAGTGCTCCCTTGCACATGGCTGTACCCATCTGGACTTCTTCTCTCCCTCCCCATTAGGACAGCAGGCAGCACTGCTGTGTGGAGTTGCAGTGGGTCCATTCAACAGGCAGAACCTGCATCAAGCACAGGAGCAGGGAATCCATGCACGTGGTGTCAGGAGGTGCCTGCATTAAGCACTGGGAGGGCAGTGTACTGAAGGTATTTCACACAATAACTTAGCCCTTTTTGAATGATTTTTTGTTGTTGTTTTTGTCTCCGAGTGCATCTTGGTGTTTGTATGGTGACCCAGCAACAATGCTGATTGTTATGGTGCCCTGCCATGCATCCTCACTGGCTGCCTTTGTTTCTGGGTGCAGCTGTATGGTTTTTATGGACATCAGAACTGCCGAGGATGAAGAAACTCTTTTGTTTGTAGAAGCTTCTGTGCATAAATTCAATCTTGATGTTCTTCTAAAGAACAAATCCACTTAACATTCCCAGTTCTGGACTGTCTTGTGGCTGTTTCAGCAGCTTGCTGGGTGCCCACTGAAATGGCTGGAGTTCCAGGAACAGATTTGCTTCTGGCTCC